TAGCATTCTCTCTCTCACACACACACATTCTTAGCATTCTCTCTCTCTCACACACACATTCTTAGCATTCTCTCTCTCTCACACACACACACATTTTACAAAATTAAATCTAATTGAATTATTATTCAATCATCAGGTACATCAATTATTTACCCCCTGCCATGTAATTTTTTACCCCCAAGGGGTAAATTTACCCCTGGTTGAGAATCACCGGTCTACAGAGTATGAACATGCAAGTTGATGGTGATAAACAAGAAGCAAAACTACTACAAACAAAACCCTGAAAATAAGACCTGTTCTCAGTCACAGTCAGCTTTCTCTCTAACCCTTTCAGTAAGGACAATTATGTTTCACCAGGTTCATTAATTCTTCACAAGTGAACACGAGAAATTCTCAAAATACCATCATTTCAAAACTGTTAGTTAGATTTGACTCACCTAAATTATTTGCTAAGCTAAAGATACTAAATCTTTCAAAAAATGTTTTAGCCTCTTTTTATGCTATTTTCAGGATACTTAACACGTTCGCTGCCATGTGCCGCACTAATGGATCACAACTGACTTTCAGTTATGGACCATGTGACACACTGGGGGGATACGTATTATATTACAAGTGGCTTCAATCAGCCAATTAAACATAGTATAGTTACCCGTATAAATATTAGACACCTGGGTTAAGAAAAAAAGAAAACTATGGTTAGCACTAGGGTAGGAATTATTAATACTAGTGGTAGTAGTGAACATGTTAAACATTTTTTAAAATCTAGTTTACACTTTACATAGATATTTTTTATTTATAAAGAAATATACGGATACTATAAAAGTTATTACCTCAATATTTATCTCATGAGGTAAAAAACAAACAGTTACAAGTACTTATGCACTATAAAGTTCATTCCTACACAGACAGGTGGCACTACAAAAGTATAAATTTTGTATTTCTCCAATAATCACTTATTTTCACTTTAATCGCACATCATCAAGTGTACCAGCAGAGAAGTGGGTTTATACTTCATTTACTACAAGTAGCATTACAAAGACGTTTCCTAAATTTGAGTGGTTCTTTATAATTGATTAGTTTCATTAGAACTATGTGCACAGTTGGGGGGTCAAATGTCATTTCATTGCCCCAGCTTTGTATGGAATATTATGAATTTGATGTCAGATTTATCAACTCTTTATGTTACCTTACAATGCTGATTTTACCACAGTTCATGTTAGAGTGGAGAAAATACAAGTTGTATAGTGATGCTGGAAAAAGCTTTAAATATCCTTATAGGAGATTGTAGAGGTTATGTAAATGCACATTACAAACAGTGTGATGGTCTTTTAAGACTTCACATGAACATCACCTTGAACTTTGGCTTTCCAGAGTCTGAACCGCGCATATCTTTAGTACAAAAAACTTTATTAACACATCTAATTTTTTGTGTACAATAGACTTGGACTGTTTATTAAAGTCTTGCCAGATTTCATGAAGATACTCTTCGTAAATTGAGAAATACAGTCAACATTATACTTCTCCATTACAGGATCAGTCTATTGGAAAGACCCAGTACACATTCAGTTAAACCATAAAATCAGCTAATTAGATACCAATATTTATTTTAATTTAACAAGCAAGTACTTCAAACAAGATTTGCTTGAAGTAGTAAACTAATGAAATATAATACAAGTTACTTAATTTCTAACACGTTTATATCCAACACCAGAGGGGACTAGCATCAAAAAAATCCATATTTAGCGTAAGGTTATATGTATTCCATACTTCACTTTATCCACAATGCTTTTACCACCAAGAAACACACCAAGAAAAATAATCCCAATAACCATGTCATATAACTGAATCATAAATATGACTGCGTTTAATGTGTCAAACACCAAAAATATCCTAACAATACGTTCATCACATTGCTTAGTGCACAGGTCGGCAACCTGCGGCTCGTGAACTAAATGCAGATCTTTAAGGAGATTTATGAGTCTTTCAGGCTATCTGCTGTGTCCAACGAGAGGAATTAATTCCCTGATCTTAGCATTGTAAATCCAAAGACTTATTGCTGTCCCACCGGGGGACTTTTTTTTTAGGTTAGATCGTTAGGACGTAATGTGGCTTTCAAAATGTTTTGGTCTTAGACAAAAACAAAAAATGGCTCTTCTTTTTTGAAGAGTTGCCGACATCTCACTTAGTAGCACATAAATACGAGTGAGTTTAATGTGGAAAATGACTAGGCTGATAAAATAAAAACTATGTATAGAATGATTAGGTTAGTTAACATGTATCTACAAGTTGCTTCACACAAATCATAAAAGTTGAATAAAGGTGGTTCCTTTGCAGTACAAAGTACAAAAGTTTTAAGTATAATTCACTTTGTACAAATAACTCAATAAAATCTTATTCTAAGGATATCACCACATAATATATTTTTAGGCAAACCTTTCAAGCTCATTTTTGAACTCTACTTTTCCAACAAGGGTCATTTTTAACTCATATATAAGCTGTTCTACAGGTCAAGTATATCTGTTTGTGTGCAAGTCTACATACATACATATATATATATTTCTGTATATATATATATATTTAGAATGCACAAGGTATGGCTGATACTATCAAGTGTTGTTGTTTCTTAGTGCAAAACTGCACAATGGGCTATATACACTCTGCCCAACATGGGGAATCAGACCCCAGATTTTAGGGTTGTAAGTCCGTAAACTTACCTCTGACTCACTGGGGTCTATCATCAAGTGACTTCAATGAGAACTTCATTGAAAAATTTACTTACCAACACAAGATCCCTTTAAAGGTTTAAGTTTCACTAGTCAGATTTATCTGTCACTTTAAAGGTTTAAGTTTCACTAGTCAGATTTATCTGTCACTTTAATGACAGATAAATCTGACTATTGAAACTTAAAACCTTCAAAACTTCTTTTAATTCTCTTGTTAATAGTAATAGACATTTTGGAATGACTTTTTTAGGCATTAGATTTTATAGTATATAAAAACAAGCTTCACAAACTAACTGATAAGTGTTCTATTTCTAGGTAGATTCTAAAGAGTTTACATCCTCTCTGTGTTCTTACCAGCAGAAGCTATATAAAAGCCACTTGGAGAATATTTGGCCACAGTGGTTTGAGTAGAATGTTCTGTGTACACATCAGCAAAAGATGGGTTCTGAAAATAATAACAATTTCATATATATATATATATATATATATACGCACACACACACACACATATTTATATATTCATACTACAATAAGTAAATTAACTATGTCAAACCTGGTGTTTCCAAAGTATAATTTATGGTAATGTAACTTTTAGATTGGGTCCTATTACACTGCAGAAAACAAATTAGCTTTATAAAAAAGAATAAGTGTAATAATAATAAGAAGAAGAAATATTCATAGATATTCAAATGTGAGATTAAACATTTTGGGGATTTAGTTTAGTTTAAATCTAATATTTTCCAAAGGATAATGACAAATAAATCAATTTGTAGGAAGACTAGTACACAGTTATTGGACGACATAGTAAACTCCAATACTCTACCAATATATATATTAAAGAAACACCGTAGATTCGTAAGACATGACAATATTATTAACATAAAATTACACCATGAAAATCATTTTTTTATATATACAATAACATGTAACAAATGAGACATAAGAAAGTGTTACGAAGCAGAGGGAAAACTGTTTATAATAAGTTCTAAACAGAGTTAAATGTAAATATTACTTTCACATTCCAATTAATTTTACGAAGGTTTTTCTCAATAAAACTATAAATGATGAAAGGAAAACAATTCCTGAAATATGATTCACCAATAAGCCAACAAAAAGTTTTATAAAATTAAAAACAAAATTGAGTAAATAAATAAGAAGGAAAATAAAACACAACCTATTATTCTGGAAAACATAATTGGTTTTATTTAAGCCAACGTTTCACCATCACAGCTTCATCGGGGCAAACAAGACACTTGCTAACTGATTTAGGCTTATACAAAACATTTCAAAAAAATACAAGTATGCACAATAAACAGAGACGTTATACTACCAAGATATCAGGAGTTAAAACTTTAACTATGGTCAGATGTGTCAATAAAACATACAACTAATGTAAAATTAATATTTCAAATTAATACTGTAATAAACTTATAAAAATAAAATACTGGATCCTAGATTATTAGTTTCTGATACTTTTTTTCTGAAAAAATATCAACAACCTGATAACTAGAAAGTTATTTCTCCTTTCTTATGTTTGCTATGATGTTTATTTGATAAATCGATTTTGGATTAGTTTTATGTCTGTTTTTTATTTTACATTTTCCTTTATCATTTACTGGAAAGTCTATAAAGATTTTCTTTTAACTTTGAATTACATGGTAATGTAACTTATTGTTTTTTACAACGGTACATTTGCAATTTCTAGAAAGGTTGGTAGAAGAACAAACCTTATCCTTACATCAGATTAGTGATAAACAGAACGTGTGGAAAAATGACAATAATATTTGCTGTTCTAAGACTTTCATAAGCATTTTTCCCCATAATTCTACCGGTATTTACAAATACGTTACATCAAAAATCACAATACGTAGTACCTCAATATCCCTGATGATGATGCTGTTTCCATTAGCATAGAGGATGTTTTTTCCCTTAGGGTCGCCACCCAAAACCATGGGCATACCCCTTTGGGTACGGGGTAAAGTTGCAAAGATGTTTCCTAAAAATAGATGATCGTGTTCAAAATATATATGATGTTTTACCATAACTAGAGTCTACACACTGCAAATATAAGTACACCTATGAATGATATCTCAAAACTAAGAAATGAAAGTAAAAGCAAAAAACTAGATGTCAGTCAATACTGTTTATTTCCTTCAATTAAAAAATATTTCTTTTCACTGAAACAAAATATTAATTTCTATGCTAAAAACAGAAAATCAATATGATGACAACTTAGATATCAACATCTGGTATTTCAATTCACACAAAATGAATTAGATCTAACTATGCCAGAAATGGCTCTCTACTTCAATATTATATATACAATAGGCTGAGTGTAAATGAAAATAAAAGGAAGTCTTGTTTAGTTCTGGTTTCAACTGTCCAATCAGTAAAGACTGTTTTATCTAAACTGATTTCATTCTCTGTTGAACTAAGAATGCTGAAGTCTGTATCATTAGCTGTCCCATTACACATGTTGCAATGTAGGTAAATTCTGAATTGATATAGTTCGTTTGGTTTAAAATGTTCTTTAAATTCTGCCACTAGGTGACATACTTTGGAACAAAAAGAAACCATTATCAGTATCGTGTTACCATAAACTAACTTTTTTCATGTGTATATTTCAACTACAGTAGCTTTATTCACCCTGTTGTCAAAAATAACTTAATGTTTGTGCTGCTTCACAGGCCTTTAAAATACAAGCACTGAACTAGTGTTCAGTTTAGAACTTCATAACATCAATAGCTTCCTTAAAAAGAAACATTTCCCTGAAAAACCTGTTAACAAGATCATGAACAAGTACTTGTTAACGGTGAACAACTCCTTAGCACAGTCGTTTGATGTCCAGGATCCAGAAGATTGGAAGCTGGCTAACGTTATTCCTCTTTTCAAAGGAAGTGGTACAAATTGTCCAGGAAATTATAAGCCTATTAGTTTTACATCAGTGGTGGGAAAAGTTCTTGAAAGTCTGATAAAAGATGCTTTACAACTTCATTTAATAACAGAGTTTCAAATTTTGTTGGATACTCCATAAGGTCTTGCTAGGGGGAAATCTTACCTAACTAATCTTCTGACAACAATCTTTGAAGAAGTTACTGCTTATGTTGATTTGGTGTATCTGTATTTTCAGAAATAATCTGACATGATGCTATACAAAAAGGATTGTTAAAAAAAAACTCTGTAGGTGTGGGAGATAAGTAGGCTCATTGGATCAAAAGTGGCTGGAGTTAGAAAGCAGAGGTAAGAACTGGAGTACAGTCAGACTGGGTTAATGTCACAAATGTAGTACCTCAGAGCTCAGTGACAAAAAAAAAAGCCTTTGCCCTTTTTAACTTAAACCAATGACATGGATGGAGAAATGGTCAAGAAACTGCTTAAATTTGCTGATGATATTAATATCTTAGGTGTTGCTGGCTGTAATGAGGATGCTGCTGCTTTACAAAAGGATTTAGATTATTTGGTGAGTTGGGTAAATAAATGGCAAACAGCTTTTAATTATATTAAATGCAAGGTAATGCATGCGAGTTAACATAATATTTATTAATTATAAGTATAATTTGAAGAAACATATTCTGAGGTTTTGGTTGATAAGTCTCTTAAATCAACCAAGCAGTGTGTTGTTGCTAATGAGAGGGGTAAATAAAATTTTAGATTATATTTACAGAAATATTGAATATAATTCTAATGAAGTTATAATCTTATTGTAAAAGGTCACTTGTTAGGCCACATTTGGAGTATTGTGTTCAGTCTTGGGCTCCTTACCTTAAATAAAAAGACACTGAATTGTTAGAAATAGTTCAAAGTAGGTCTACTAGGATTATACCTTGGAGAGAAAGATTGCAATACAAGGACAGATTCAAATATCTGAAAAAAAAGAAGAAAAAAAATGGGGAGACTTGAATAAGGTGATTAAGATTGTTTAGGGAACTAATAGTGTTAATGCATCATCTTTTTACTTACTTAATGCTGAGAATGGGAGGACAAGGAGGCACAAATAAAAAATTTGCAGAGTAGGAGTCATCTTCAGCTAAAACAGTTTTATTTTTTCAACAGGGTGGTTGCTCTTTGGAATAGGTTGCCTTCAAATGTGATGAATGCAGTAAATTTAAGGATGTTTATTAAAAAGCTTTACAAATATTTAAATGATAAGGGCTGGCTTTGAAAGTTGTTTTTTAAGGTTATTTTACTGAATGTGACAGCCTAAACAGACATATAAATCCTTTGTTGGCCTTAAATGTTATCTGAAACTGGTACTCTACCTACACAGTTACTAAGATTCAAATCATTCAAATGCCAAGAAGACAACTCCAATCGTGATCATCCAAATATGAATTCCAATTTTCGATAAACAGTTCCAATAAAAAGCAATAAAGGTGGTCCTAGTAATTAGAAATGTGATAACAGACTAAACTGTTGAATCCATTGTGACAGGTGAAGCTGATAACATCTGACTTCTCTGCATGGAGGGACAGAGGATAAATGATGAGATAAAGACACTGACTGAACTAAAGCAGTTGGTACACGACTGAAGTAATGAATGGCTTCTGGATTAAAGTAATTTCAAAAGTTAATATAAATTTAAAAAATGAAGATGCTGGATAGTAAGAGATACAAGTTTAGATCCCAGTCAGATGAGCTTGATTTTCAAGGATTTGGCAGCAGGGGTAAAAAAGTAATAAAAGAATTTACAGATGAAAAGTTTTAAACTTTTGACATTATGCCCCCTATCCATATCATTAATATTAAGATGAAAAAGCAAAAGGTGCAAGCATTGAAGCACTCCAACAATGGTCCAGTTTGACTAGATGCCATTATTAACAATTTGCATTATCTTAACTTAAAACACTTTACGATCCAATTAACTAGTCTTTCCCCAACTCCAAATGGCATTATATTCTTAGTGTATCTTCTGTGTGTGGCACCTTATCAAAAACTTTTAATTCCAAATTTTTATATTTTATAGAGATTGCAACCAACAGCTGTGCAGCATGCATAAATTATCAAAGAAGCAAGAATTAATCAATCATAATCACACGAAGGTGTATAATTTATACTACAGATATGCAATGGTTATTTGTTATTTATAAAATGACAGGCAAACAATAGTTTAATGAGCACTATACCACTAGCTGATAATATCAAGTTTGGCTTAAATATAATTATATTGTTGTTAGCTATATTCAATGCTTTAATCTAAAAGTTAGCTCGGAGGCGCCTCACGCTAGAATCAAGTAAATGCTATAATACCTAGAATATTCTAAAGGACATCACAAAAACCTAATAAATTCAGGGATTATCGAGAGATGAGAGTATATTAAAAACACAAGAATCGGTGAAGCATTCAGTCAGTTTTTGTTTTCCGCTACCAGTGAATCAGTGTTAAGTGAAGCGTTAGTTATCATGTATATTCAGTTACTTGATCTATCAACTGTAAAACAGTGGCAACAAATTTATTTTTACATTATTTATACAATTAGAAAAGTATTTCCAATCGAAATGTAAGTTGTAAACATAGACTTACAAAGTACAACTCTGTACAAATTAAGGCAGCTTGATGAAACATTACGGAAGAAATAAACTAATTTATTATCTTTACATGGACTGGACTTAGCCTTATTTTCACCTAATAATTTAAAGAACTAGCCCAGTAAAAGAAAAATGTTACAATAATAACATGTAAATTCTGGTTTATCACACAAAAACCAGTATATAAATTACAACATGATAACTGGCCAGTATTTATTTAACTTTTTGTTTTGTTTTTATCATCTATACACAACAATCATACATAGCATTTGAACTGAAGTCTTATTTGTTTCATTTCTAAACCCAAGAGTAACTAGTTTATAATTAACTGTAATGAGTCAAGCCCAGTAAGCATGGCTTGCATGTAATTATTAAAACATAAACTCATAATTCGTCAAATGTTAATTTCTACCACAAAACATATTTTATATTTTTTGTTAAAATGTATTTTGTCATATATGTAAAATATGCAATACTTATAGTATGCAAATTACAACATTTTATTTTCAATCATCCAACATCAAATCTCCATATATAACAGGCTAAGAATTCCTTTCATTTTGAAATTTAAATGCAATTGTAACTTCAATTTGATGTTTAACCGTCTTTGAAATTAACTGTTGGTGTTAATCTAAGATTGAAATAACAATGTACAGTACAGTGAGTTATAATGTTATAAATAAGTTAGACTTAGACTTTTTTTAGAGTTAGAGAGCAAATGGGTACTAATAGTAATAGGATATCAGTAGCAATACTACTTTTATTGGTAATTACATTAGTGATAGTTAATATAAGTATGACTAAAACTAAAAAACAATTAAAACTATATTTACTTATTGTCTACAGAAATATATGTATATTTGTAATTTATATAACTCACGGTTTTTAAATGACATATTCTAATTCTAACGCACACCTAGCGGTCGAAAGTGAAAGGACACCGGTGTTAGACGGAAAATGTTTTATAAATAGTGCTGCTACCTACTTAGCCGAAATTTAACCCTGTTTTTCTTTATATTTTATTTATACACGATTATAACCAGAAGAAAACTTTAGCAGAATTGTAAAATTCTGGTTAAGTGTATTCAGATAAAATTTATTTTTAATTCTTTATTTGCATATAAGTTATCGTTTGCAATATAGTTGATAAACAGTAAGAAAACACCACGTCAAACTCTTCAAGAAAAAAACAAAAACAAAAATAAACAAACTATATATATATTATCTCATGGTGAAGTTATATTATAGCCGACATCCCCCACTGTATGATGCTATTTTATGACTGTCGCATAAGCTGTGAAATTCCACTAAATTCTTCGTTTTGGGATTTTGGAAGTATTCCAAAATGCACTGTTGAAATTTTACCGACAATCTGCTATTCTTTTGTGACACAGCTAACTCTGTGCCACTATTGAATGTATGGTTCTTTCTCTTGGTTGATTAGTTAAAAAAACATAGCTTCATTTTTTTCTAAATTCAGCATATAATTTTTCTCTTTTGTTTGTTTAGTAATGACAAATGATTGCACTTTTCTGACTCGATACTAGATCATCGAGTAGCTATCTCTTGCATTACCAGCTCTATGAAAAGATGTGTGCGCGTATTTGCTTAAAACGACTTTTAAAAGTCTAAAAAGGTTTGTAGCGTAGATAAAATGTTTAGAAAAAAAATCTTGATTATATACTACTCTTGGCTGAGACTCGTCTAGTACTAATATATTATACTTGGGTAATACCTAGGCCTAATTTTGCATTGAGCTTAAACAAGATTTATGATTCTGGACTAGAACTTGAGTAAAATTTTAGCGTGCTGTACTGTATTACACATAATAAAATAGGCAAACTAAACTAAGGACTGATTTTTAAAGTCACTTGACAACCACAGCCTATATAAAGTTGCGATGGAAAATATTGTATCAGAACTGCCTTTTGACATTTTTTTTGACATTTCGTAGGTAGTGTGATGCCAAACCAAACCAAATTTGTGTGATGCCACCGAAAATCAATCGCTTTAAGGAAGTGGTACATGTTACAGCCATTTCCGAAGAAAAATATCCATACGCTCAAATCATAAAAATGTGTTTAGATGGGAATTAGAATTTCCAAGAGTGCAGCGTTTTGTAACAGGTGAAAATCCACGAACACAAAGGTCAGTAGCAAAAGCTGTCCACGTGTTCGAAACAACAGTATGCAACATAATTGAGAAGGCTCTCAGTCTAGGAAAACGGCACAAGTCACGTGTACACCAACTGCTTCCACGAAATATCAGTTTAACTGTTGCATATCTCAAGCAATTGGAGAAAAAAAACGGGTATTCATGCTATTCCATACGAAGACATACACCACTCCAGTCGCTAGATACAATATCTATATATTTATTTGGTATTAGACTGTTGAAACAGACGCCAGGAAACCGTCTCCCTTGTACATTGGGTGGATTGTGGATTGTAAGATGGGTATATTTTAAACATAATAACCTTACTACAGAGCCTTCTGTAATGGAAACTACGCTGTAAGGCTATTGTCAAGATGCACCGTCGTCAAATAGAGCATGACCAAATGTAACGACATGAATTGTAATGACGTATCCAAACTATGTATAGGATAAAACGGCGTGTGACATCTGCTTACCACAATTCATATAACAACAGTCATAAAATCAACGGTTCGAATATAGTTTCTAATGTATAATGACATGAACTCAACTTCAGAAACAACCTATAAAAATAAAATCAGAGTTATCTCAGCCACTTTACCTTTTGATGTAGATCAAAACAAATACTTGGGGTTGACCAGTCAAGCTACATGGTCTCAGATTTACTGCATTATAAAAATGCACAATTATAAGCACAAAAACACAGAATGGGCTATCTGTGCTCTGCCCACCACGTGTATCGAAACCTGGTTTCTAGCGTTATACGTCCGCAGACATACCGCTGTGCCACTGGGAGACCATTTAAGGGAAACAACTTTTCATGTCCTAAGGTAACCTCTCATTAATCATGAATTTACATAGCTTCTATCCAGGGGACGGGTATTCCAGCTAGTATTATACATAAAAACCAATATTTCTTTTCAAACTGTACGTTATCATCAGCTAGCCCTTCATCTCTATTTATCAAAGAATTATTTTATTTAATTACAGAACAAAATTTCTATTGCTTCTCTAATATTCAATTCGCTTTAAGTACTAGGTTCATTTAAGGTTGTTTTATGCCGTTTTATCAAATGACCTGTTTCGACAGCGTGTTCAGCAAGTAGAAAAATTAACATTTATTTATTATGTATTTAACCCTTAACCTTTATGTTCATTAAAAAGATATTTCAAATTAAGTTTAGTTTGACACATATATTTTTTATTGCATTCATACCTAATTTCATATAAACCTTTTTTATCTAAAATATCTTTATTTATCTTTAATACTAGGAAGAATTGTTTAAATTTTGTTAATTGGTAATCTTTAATTAAAAAATGTACATCAAAAGTACATCCAACGACGTTTAAAGATCTAACGTTTTAACAAATTTTAGGAGAGTGGCATTGATTTTTTCTGTGGATTTCAAAGGATGCATAGAACTTAAAGATAGATAATATTTCTAGAACAGAAACCAAATATAGAAATTCAATTAATAAATTTTTTACGCTATTAAAAATATGTAAAAAAACAACAACAAACAACTTAGCATCTATATCTACACATATATGTGTTCAGGAGATTTCTAAAAACTTGAAAGAGTCAGAAAGATTGCTGATATCCAATTGACTGGGTGAATAAAAAAGAATTAATTAGCCCTAAGTTATTTCATGTACAGTTAAGTGTATTTTATAGCAACTTTTAAACATCTTGTTTTTCACTAGTTCGTCGACGTATAAACTGTATATTCTGTCGAGCTTTTTTAACTTCCTGCCACAAAACTGCGTTCATAATTTTGCTGAGAAAGTATGCCAAAAGGAAAAAAAATAAAAATCTCAGCGTTGGTATGCAGTACACACCAAGCTGCCTCCAGATCTATGGGTCGCTGTTCTCATTCTTTTGGAAAGCCAGTATATAAACACGACAGCCAAATTTGGCTGTTACGTATGCGTATATAAATAACTATTAAATGTCAAAACCAAAGTAAAAAACATATCTGATTACTTTGTAACAATAAAATACTTGGAAAAAGTAAGTTTAAAAACGTTGTGGAGACAAAACATAACACACTATAATTAAGAGATTGATCGAATGACTCTGAGATATAATAATAACGAGTATTCTGTGAAAAATGACAGTTTGGTGTTAGTATTACACCTCCTATGCCTGATTCACTTTTGTATATAAAACAGTAAAATACAAGATTTGTTTTTGAATTCGATGACGAGGAACCCACTTTGATGATGACAAAACCTTGTCGAAACGTTGTACATTTGCTGTTATGTTAAACTTATATTAAAGTTTTTCTTCATCACCCATTTAAGCCGTCTACAACCATTATAAGATTTGTTTGCAATATGTGAGGGTTGACCCTGCAGTAGAGTTCTAGATTTCAGAACTGACGAGCTAGGTTCGAATCCATGCAATACCATAAAGCACTAACCGTACTCTAAGTTATGGATGCGTTATTTAAGAGTGACAGTCAATCCCTTATAATGGATGGTGGGTGGCAGAGTGCGTTATATAAGAGTGACAGTCAATCCCTTAATATGGATGGTGGGTAACAGGGTGCGTTATATAAAAGTGATAGTCAATCCCTTATAATGGATGGTGGGTAGCAGGGTGCGTTGTAAATGTAGCAGTCAATTCCCTAAGATAGATTGTTTGTTTGTAATTATGCACAAAGCTACACAAAGGGCTATCTGTTCTCTGCCCACCTGGTTTCTAGCGTTATAAGTCCGCAGACATACCGCTGTGCCACTGGGGGGCTCTAAGATAGATGATGGGTAGCAGAGTGCGTTATACAAGTAACAGTCAATCCCTTAACACGGATGGTGGGTAGCATGGTGCGTTATAATAGTAACAGTCAATCCCTTAACATGGATGGTGGGTGATAGAGTGCGTTATAAGAGTGACAGTCAATCCTTTAGCATAGATGGTGAGTGATAAAGTAGCTGCCTTTCCTCTACAGGATGAGTAGTGAAGGAAAGAGAGAAAAACTAGGAAAAAAAATGGAAGCACCATGTCAGTGTTTTTTTGTTTGTTTGTTTGTTTGTTCCAAATTGTAGGAGAATAACAAACGCTTTCACACCACTCCTGTTAAATTGCTTTTCAGCCCTAGAGTTACACAGGTTTATTCAGAAATTCACTGCTGCTGACAGGCGTGTGTGCATCTTCGCCATTAACAACAGCTAACACATCAAGAGTGTTACTTTCTAACAATGATCAATAAGCTTAAGGAGCGTTTGTGACACTACGAGAACAATAGTCATGGTTGATTAATCAAGATGAAAAGATCAAGCTCCACAGATATCCTTATCTTTATTTATTTGATCTAATGTATAAAGCAGCGTAGTTTTTTTTTAGCAAAGCGACATTGGATTATCTGTTGTATCCACCGCAGGAAATCGAACCCCGGATTTTAGCGTTGTAAGTCCTTAGAATTACTGTTGTCCCATCAGGGAACAAGCACGTAGACATGGGATGGAATGGTATAATCACACCCCTTATATTGTGCCCGGCCTGGCAAGGCTTAGTGGTAAGGGGACTCGACTCGCAACCTGCGGGTCACAGGTTCGAATCCCTTTAATGAAAATGTTCGCCCTTACAGCCATGGAGACGTTATAATGTGAATGTCAATCCCACTATTTGTTGTTAAAAGAGTAGCCAATAATTGGCGGTGGGTGGTGTTGACTAACTGCCTAGTCTATCATTAGGATCAGCTAGCGTAGATAGCCCCTCGAGCAGCTTTGCGGGAAATTCAAAAAATAAACAAAATTGCACCCATATATGAACTTCAGCTGACAATATAATCAA